ATTGTTTCTTTACTGATAGCACTAGATTCCTTTAATGCTGGCCTACCTCCATCAACCCATCCCTTGTTTAAAACAAAAACATACTTGAGTATTTTGTAATAATGGATCCAAATGCTATATCTTACAGTAGTTTTACTGTGATAGTTGGCACCCTTACTGTAGAACACTCTGTGGCACTGGATTTTTAAAAAAATAAGGTTTTTGCCTCCTCATCTAACGTAACTTGCTTCTATTCCTGAGACAGAAACTCAATGAGAGCAGTTTTGCCTGCAGTGCAGAGGAAGATTTGAACTCTCCACCAAGCACTATTGAGTTTATTTACTCCATCAAAGATGTATTTGCACCATAAGCAGCCACACTGTATGACTGTACTAGCCATCACAAACTCTCATATACTTCTTTAAGGGAATTTATTGTTTTTCTAAGCACCTCTTTCCCTGAAAAATGTGGGCTTCACTATTTTAAAGCTGCACGGAAATGCCTTAATCTCCTCTCAGTTTGCTACTGCACTTTCTTTCTCAATTGCATCCCCAATTCCCAGTTCTTCAGACTCTCCATGAACAAACTCTAGCCTACCTCACATATCTTCTCTCTGTCTACACTGTTCCCACTCATCTACCACTGGCCTTGTCTCTCTTGCTCTTCACATTACCTCACTACTGTCGGTGCAAGAGCTGCAACTGCTCCTCTGCAGCTCTTATGATCTGGAATAGCCATCATATGTTTCTCTGCCTCATTGACTTTTCATATATTTGCAAAGCTCATCTCACAATACATTTCTTCTTCACACTTTTACTTCTTAATTTCTATCCTCTGCTTATATTATTTTATTTTAACAACCTAAGTATTATTTAAGATGACAACTACTGTACTTGAGCCATGGTGGATTTGGATCCAGGCTCTTGTCCAGTAGCTGGGAAGGTTATGAGAAAGCCTCAAAACAGATGTTTGCCATGGGACTGACAAAAAATAGGTGTTAGTGGAGACTGTAGCACAGAGAATGGAGTAAGTTAGTTGAGGAACAATGGACAGGGAAAGATAGGAATTGGAGGAAGAACAAAAGGCAGAACCAGAATCACAGTGGGGATGGGGGAAGGGAGATTAAAGTGAAATATTGGTTTGCAATGGAAAAAGTGAAGGAGAAAGGTTAAATTAAACAAAGGCAAGATAACTCACGCAAAAGATGGACTGGAGTTATTTTGTTTGGTACCTATACAAGAGAACATTGGGGTGACATTAAGAAAGGAAAATTTTAGGGCTGAAAAAAAAAATCAGGAAAACTCCATACAATGAGTTCTCTAAGGCCCCAGTTCAGCAGGGGGATTTAAGAACGTGCCTAATTTCAAGTAGATGAGTAGCCCCATTGCAGAATAATCTCCCAGTGGAAGTGGTGGAATTCCTATTGAAGGTAGTGGGAAGACATCCATTTAGTACAGTGGTTTTGGATCAGACCTTTGGGGACATTTAAAAGTAAACTGGATAAAGTCCTAGAAAAATAACTATGCAGAGAACATTCCTACACTGGTAAGAAGATGGATAGATCATTTAATAGAATCATAAATGTTGGAGATTGAAAAAGAACTAACATCCGGGATTGTGATTTTTACTTTAATATTCATATTCATGGAAGCTTTTTTACATTTCTCTGAATCTCCCTGGCAGCCATCCCATAGCTCCATAAGTCTGGGGGAAGAGAGTGGTTAGCATGTTGTTGCTGTGGGGATTTGAGTCTTAGTGCTGTATGTTGGTAGTGTTGGCCATGTGATTTTAAAACTTACATGGTACAGCTGCAGGTAATTATTTTCCTACTGCATGTCACACGCTGTTTTGGGTTATGGGGGAAAATTCAAATTATTTTTAAAAAATCTTAAGGAATGTTGTAAAGGAAAATAAAGGGGAGTGACTAGTGTCAGTTTGGATAGCAGTCAGGCTAGAGGGAGACAGCTTGTTCTATCAGTCACCAAGAATGTTAGCAGCCAGCCAGCCACTTATTCAGCAAGGCATCAAGAGAGTGAAAGGTAAGGATCAAAGACATTTGTGTATGTTGCTGACAGTAGCTTCATCTGTTGAATTAATATTGTTAGTTATGTACTGTGATTATATTATTCTGATTTCTGTTTAGGACTAGTTGTTCATGTGATTGCTAGCTATTTTATTTTTAGGGTAAGATCCAGCTTTTTGGTTCCCTTTCCTATCCTGGACAATTTGTATGTGTCTCCAGGGTGGACATTGTATGGCTGTCACTTGGTAGAGGGCTCAGTAGTGCAATGATAACACAATTTTTTCTTCTCAAGTGAGACACGCTGGCTTCTAATTTTCTGCCTGTTTTCAGGGTGACCATCATGCTGAGTGTCTCTGGCTAGCATCCATGCAGGCTGGCTTAGTGCTGTGATTCATAGGCTTTCCCATGTGTGAGGACACTGGATCCTCACTTATGAAAACCCTTCTACAGGAAGTGCCATCAGAGCAGTATATTTGGTACACTTTTCTCAGTGTTTGGGAACAAAGTGTAATGAATTCTACTAAAAGCAGCGAATGTTAGTGGAGTCAGCAAGTGCTATTGTCCACCTTGTCCAGTGAGGAGGAAGTAGTTAGAGCATCTAACTCAGAGTGAGGATTCCTGGCTTCTAGGACTGGTTCTGCCAATGATTCTTTATGTGACCTTAGGTAAATCATTCAGGCCAGGACTTTCAATAATAGGAGCCTAAATGAAGCGTATTTAGCCATATTTTCAAAAGTTCTGAGCACCCAGCAGCTCTCACTGAAGTCAGTGGAGCTTTTGGATGCTCAGCAATTTTCAGGATCAGGCAGGTGCTTAAATATAGATTTAGGAGCCCAACTTTAGGCTCCGAATCTTGAAAATATTTGTCTCAGCCTCACTGTAACCTTGGATTAGTCATTTGTAAAATGGGGAAAATTTTTACACACTTCACCAGGGTGTTGTTGAAACTTAATGCTTTATAAAGTATTGCAAGACCCTTTTGTAGACACTTTAGAATTGCAAATTACTCACTGTGCTGAATTTAATTCTAAAAATCACCATTTATATTAGTTTACTTCAAACAGATGTCTGTTTATTCAGAGCAGCTGGTCCAATATAAAATCTCTGACTTTGACATACATGGTCCATATGAACATCTTTGAAAATGCACCATTTTGCACACAGTGCTTCTAGGGCAAGACCTCATATCTGCCATTTTAATCTTTTAGGGCTTATCTATACTACTGGGACTATACTGGCATAGCTATGCTGCCATAACCCCATAGTGTAGACACAACCTACAGTGACAGGTAGCATTCATCCATTGATCTAGTTGCATCTACACTAGGAGTTAGGTCAGCATAGCTATGGCGCTTAGGCATGTGGATTTTTCCATTTCTTGGGCAACGTAGCTATGTCAACCTAAATTTTAAGTGTAGATCAGGCCTTATTTCTTAAGTGCAAAGATTTGTACTCTATTATTTTTACAAGGATCATTTATCTCTTCCCTCCTGCTGCTTTCAAACACTTCCATTCTGCAGCCTGCTCCATAACAGGCACACAGCATCAGAGAGTGTTTAAAATCCAAAATTTCCTTGGCTGCTTTTCTACTATTTCCTTACCACGCATTTCTAGTGGAGTCAAGAAGAAATATGCTCTTTTTTTAAATTCTCAGGCTATGTCCCTGTAGGTTGGTAATGACAGCAAGTTGTCATCATTTTACAGCCATGTAATGAAATGAACTAGAGGTCTCATCCCAGTTTCACAGAAAACAAACTTCCACCTTACAAAAACTAATACCAGATTTGCCACCCAGTCTTAATAGCTAGGCAAAGGACTGAGTGATTACAGACCATGAACTGCATTCCCATCATGTTTGGAGGTGGTCCCATCAGAGTGGAACTGAGATACAGTGACCATGTCTGTGAGATACTTTCAGTACCACTGCCCAGAGACTGTATGTATTCAGTGAATAACTATTTTCTAATGTGAATATTTGTAAAATTAGTTCCTTTGAAGCAAAGCATTTTTTCAATAAGTAAACAAAAACTAAATCTCATAAAAGAGCCTTACTTTTATTGCCAATAATGAAATAGTTTATTAAAACGGGGGGTGGGGGGGGGAAGGGGAACGGACAAAAATCTAATCTAATTTACTTTCTGCTATTTTCAGTGGTTACTTTTAGCATTTCAGTCAGTCAGTTTCACTTCCCAAACAATCACTGCTGTTGTTTTAGGGTTGGATACATTGTGAGGAGTATCCAAAATGGTTTCAACTGATTTTCTTTTTAAAACTTAATGAAAACATTTTTATTGGTATAAGGCTGTGAAACCGCCCATTTTCCAATGAATCCTCTATTTTGGGCCTAAACTACCTCACAGTAGGATATGAGGTGTGATAGGTGGAGCAGTAGCACTTTGAGCTTTCATATCTGCACTAGGAGGCTCTTTAAAAAATATTACAAAGCCAGGCATAATATAATAAAATGTGAATGGGAAACCCATTTTGATACCTGTTTCTTAGTCTCAAGGGAGCATCACTTGACAACACATACCTTTCATGAATGCCACAGCACTACTGAAAAAACAGGCCTTAAACTGGTGTTTTTTAGTGAACTTAAAAATGTGTTTGCACTTTAGTCATTCAGAGACAGTCAATTGAACATTTTTGAAGGGCTATGATATAAATATTCAGTAATACAATGGCGGGGGGAGTAAATAATTGTGTTGACAAAACCTTAAAAATGACATACCAATACTGCATGGTGCTAGATTTGTGTTTAAAAGCCTTAACTATTTGAACATGTTGCGCCATGTGTTCTTTTGCAAGTGTCCCTCCCCTCCAAATTCAGACTACAATATATTCATCAAATTACTGAGTTGGAAAGGTTTGTAATGAGTTCTTTGAGCTGTAAGTGTTCCCCCACCCCCTTTAAATCTTCATCTGACATTAAATAGAGCAAACCCAAAACAGATTAACTGTCAAACAGTTATGCTCCATCTCTTCAATCTGCTTTTAGGTTTCAGAAGGGGAGCACGTTGATGAGGTAAGGAGACGACATGGTCTTCTTCTGTCGATGTAGAAAGATAGCACAGATGATTATCTGAAAAAGCTGTACTACACAGCGCAAGCATGGCTTTCGCCCAGTCGCACATTATGGCCGCTAGAAGGCATCAACACAGTAGACTCATAATTGAAGTGGATGAGTACAGCTCAAACCCCACACAGGCGTTCACGTTCTACAACATTAACCAGGGACGCTTTCAGCCCCCACATGTGCAAATGTAAGTATTATAGTTTTGTTATTGCTCTAACACAGCCTTCAGAATTGTTATTGCCTTGTCAATGTGGTATTTGATGGACCAGTCAGAAATAATTCAGAGAACAATGTTTTGCTGTCTTTCTAATAATAATTACTGATACAATTCAGTCCATTGGGGAAGCATAGGTACTTTTTTAAAGGATAGAAGAGGAATGACTGTGCTAGCACAATTTGGTCTTTATAAAAAGAAAACAACAACAAGCAATGTAATTAATCTTAGAGGTTTCATATAAATAATATTTTCCACAGAAGCATTAATCAGCTTTGTGAACTCGTATTCTCAACTTGCATCACGTGTAAATAGCTGTTGAAATACCAAGACTGTATTCAGAATAAACATTCTCCTGTTGTTTGGTTAGCTATACTACTGCTTTGTACTACAAAATAAAAACGACAGCAACAAATAAAATAGTGTGGGTACCCATCCAACAACCTACTTTAATACCAGCGTGTGAAAGATATAGAGTGCTTAAAGAGTAATTAAAATAATGTGTTTGTTTTTGACTTTTTATATGTAATGATGACATCAGTAAAGTTAACTGCTCTAAATGGTGATTTACTTTTAATGTCAAGTGTAGGATCATAATTACAAAATGAAACCTGCCATAAAGTTGAGAGCCAGAAGGAAGAGCAAAACTGTTAAGCAATTACAAGTAAATTAAGTATATAAATCCATTGCAAAATATTTTATAGGAAATCAAAATGTAACATATTTTATTCTATTCTTTAAAAAGAGAATCAATCTTATATTTTGATCAGAGAACTGATTTTCATTTAAAAAAAAAACAACTTTTTACTTTAGCAGGACTGAATAAATTGGCTTACTTTCATCCACTACATTTAATACATTTTGGTAATTTCTAAACATAGGAAATGATTCATTTAAAAAAAAACGTGAGTGGATGGTATGTATCTTTTCAGTGATATTTTACATGCAAATTGTGGTACAAATTGTACACCATAGAAAGGAAACCTAAAGGCTAATGTGGACACATGCCTGCATGTGGGCGGAGTTTGAATGTGTAAATAACACTCTCTGGAGCAGGTTTTCGTTATATATGCCAATTACAATAGGGTCCTGACCCCTAGTTGGGGCTTTTAGGTAGTGTCCCAATACAAATAATGAATAAAACAAATATAATATCTGCATCAGGGAACATCTTTTGTTTGCAGAGCTGGCAAATGGTAACAGAAAACAAACAAATAAAAAATTGATTCACAAATATTTTGGCAAATAGAAGTGCCAAGTTCAGATCTCTGAGATTTGTGGGGCATATTATTCATTATTTGTGAGTATTCAGACAGCCGCTGGGCATTCATGAATACGTTTGCCAATCCCAAAAGTTGCATGTATGGGTTTTCATCACAAAATTTGGGTTGGAAATTAGTTATTCATTATTAGCCATTTGCTACTCATTATCTCTTGTTTAATGTTGCAGTCACCCAGCCAGTGAGTGAATACAATAGCATGTGACTTTGGTGATCCACCACACAACACAGTGAATACTCTAAAGGGAGCAGTTCACAAACAAGCTATTCTCTGAAAATTGTTCCCCAAAAGTGTTCAACACTCATGAATAATTAATGAATTTGAAAAACATTCATGCAAACCAGAAAATGGGCTAAGTTGTAACAAATAATATTCATAAGAGTAGTTTGACCAACTATTTGTCTAGACACTAGAAATCTTGAAGAATTTTTGTGAATATCTATAGTATTGATATTGTTCTTGGCTTTTACAAATTTACAGAATGGTGAGAAATGTAATCTTGCATCCCCTTTATTCCCTGGCCCCATTGAAGTCAATAGTAGCTGCTCCATTGACTTCAGCAGGGCCAGGATTTCACCCTATTGGTGAATTATATGCTTGCAAAATCCCTAGTTTAGTGATGCAAATAATAATGAATAAACCTCATATAAACTTACTCACCCCCTAATGCTTTTCTCCTCAGTGCTTTTGGCTCTCCTCCAAAGGCTTACAGCTAGTACATGGTTTTTCTGGTCCTCAGTACTGTCTTGCACTCCCTTTCTTACCTTAACTGCACCATCCAGGAGTATTCTCAACCTCTCACAGCATTTTCCTGGCTCCATCTTTGTCTTTCCTGTTCCTCTGTTGCGAGGTGCTTTGGGTTGCCACAGTTGGCAAATGTATTTTATTATTATGATAATTGTCATCTACTGTTTGATAAGCACTGATAGTGCAATCAGAGCTGTAGAAGACATAAATCATGACAGTTGTCCCCTGAAGATTAAGGTCTTGATCCTGGCTGTATGCAGGCAAACCTCTGCTCCTGTATGAAACCCCATTGAAGCCCTGTGTATATACCAACCTCCAGTATTGGCCTGAAATTTTAGCTTTGCTTTTCAATTTATATGCAAGTTTATATGTTATTTTTAAAAAATAACAGACCATAAGGTCCTCATTCTTCTTTTTCCGTTACTCACAGCGCAAGCAGTTCATTGGACAGCAGTGGGGCTACTCAGGGAGTCAGGTTCTACTCAAGGACATCAGTCTCAGGCCTTAAGAAATTGTGTCCTACAGTACAATTAAATGTGTTTATGTGAAACCTGACACACTTTTGCACTGTTGTACTGCAAAAGCAATCCACTCATTCTTAATATGTGCATATTTCTGTGACACTGTGATCTGCATTTCATTTATTTATCATATTTATTTATACCCAATACATTTTTTGGCCCTTTGTACAAGGTTTTAAAGCAATACATACCTTGGCTGACCAGTGTGAATCAGGAAAATGCTTCCCACAAAATAAAGTTCTAAATTGTGCATAAGGAAAAGCATATGTATTGTGTGCTGCATACATTGCCATTGTAAGTCTGTTGTGTTTTCATTCAACTCCAGAGGAGGACCATGTGAAATTTATGTTACTATTTGATGCACAAGTTACTGCTGCCCTTGGCTTTGTTTCAGTGATAGGTGAGCAGGAAGAGGCATATTTAAGGGATACACTTTATGAGCTACACTGAAAACTCAGCAATGTAAATTCAGATCAGCGCATTTTATTTATCTTGTACAAATACATGAAAACCCTGGGGAAGTACATTATTTTTCTGGCTACCTTCTTCTGCAGTTGAGAAGTATCCATAATTTTAAATTGCATAACGGAGAGATGCCCATATTGTGGAGTTAGGGATGGGGAGAGCAAAAGTTTGGAAGTCAGGGATGTAAGACCTCAAGTTTCTGCTTTTGTGCTTGTTTCATGATCCAACTTTTGGCCTTGCTTCTGGCTGTTGAAAAATTGACAAAAGGTGTGAAACTTTAGGAAGCTTGGGCTTAATACTTCCTGCTGTACAGCACTCAAATTAAATAGTTATTACTCCCTGGATTTAGTAAAGTAAAAAAAAAAAAAACTTTTGAAAAGTTATGACTTTTGCTAGAACCTGCCCATAGATGTAATGATTTTTAAAAAGACATACACCCTCCCAGAAAAGTATAGAAAAATAGTATAACAAAGAGAATATCTACATACATTAGCTTTTTAATGTGTTTTATCAAATGGTAAAATGAGAATTTTTGTAAGTGTTGTTTAATGATTTGAACAGGACTCTATTCCTGGTTGTCTCACAAATGTCTACCACTGACAACATGAACTTATCAGCTCACTTAACATCCATCCCTCAGTTTGCTCGTCTGTAAAATGGATATAATTCTTATCTGTCCCATGTTGTGAAGATTAACTTACGTTTGTTAAACAATTTGAGGTCCTCTGAAAGCTTTCCCCATAAACACCAAAGTGTTAGCATTAATAATAATAAAGATCTATAACTTTATTTTTTCCTAATTAAATTTTTAAAATTGAGCCAGAAGAGAAGCAGATCAGATGGGGAAAGATCCAAATTATACATAACAATAAACTAAATTAATGTTCTGAGTCATTTAAAGACAAATGTTTACAAACTAAATTGTTCATATAAAACTATAATTCTGTCTGAGATTTTACTGATATTAATAAGGTTCTTGGATTTCTGTTTTTCTGTTTTTTTCCCACCAAAATTACCCCCACTGAAATTGCAGCTATGGTACACTTACACATACATACTTCTATATATTGTAATGAAATGTGTTGAGGGTGAAGGAATTTAATGAGTTGCAAATAAGTATATCTCATGCAGCAGATTTGTTTTCTCTGCCTTCCTTACCTAAATCATGAGGAAGCTTCATAAAAGTGGGTCAGATCATTTCTTTTCCTCATGTTGGAGTCTTGAAATTGGGCACTATACAATGCAGCAGCACCCCTTACTGCATCTGATTTACTTAGTATAATTAAGCCCAGAAAGTTACCACAATTGTCCTGACAATAGTAAGGTTAGAATGTGCATTTGCAGCAGCTGTCAGTAAAGTTCTTATCTGCCGGTGCATTAACACACTGAACCATATCTCCAAAAATGTGTTAATTAAATTTGTTGGAATTTTATAACCTGCAGAAAAAATATGATTAGGAAAATGCATTTAAATGTATTTATATATGTGATAAAATGCTTCTCTCAGTATAGCGTGCAATCTTATTTAAACAATGAACACAGGATGGTATTCTTATTTTGAAATTGGAAATGCCTTTGTTTTATTTGTAAGTGTCTGAAATATGACAACAACATTGAAACAATCCCTTTTCCATAATCCCTTTAAACTAATACATCTACCCAGCCAATATTGAAAGCTCTATGATGTGAACTCCAAAATTCTTACACCTCCTATTAATTCTGTGAGTTTCTTCTTACACCTCCTATTAATTCTGTGAGTTTCTTCGCCACACAGATCCAGAATACGTCATTTTTAGTAACAATGAAAATTGTATTGGAGTTGCAAAGTAAATACTAAAAAGGTTATGTAGTCAACTCTATTTCATAACCTTCTCATAATGCATTTCCCATAGGGTGGATCCTGTGCCCCATGATGCCCCCAAACCTCCAGGATATACCCGATTTGTCTGTATTTCTGACACTCACTCAAGAACTGATCCAATCCAAATGCCCTATGGAGATGTTTTAATACATGCTGGTGACTTCACTGAACTGGGACTTCCTAGTGAAGTTAAAAAATTCAATGAATGGTTAGGTAAGTATCAGATTACATGCCATTTCGGAAGTAAACGTGATTTAATGAATGTACCAACTCTCTCTGCCTCCTAGTAAAACATTGTGCACGTAGGAATGATTAATATTAATTTAGCTTTATGTTTGAATGGCAACATTTAGAATTTGGATTTTTAAAAATATTGTGTTCTTTCCAGCTGAGCAAATGAGATTCATGTGATCATTCATCCATTCTGCCTTTCTGCTCTTAAGAGGGGGAAAAGGTACAATAAGCAACTTTTGGCATTAGCTGATATTTAAGTCACTGGGCCTTTTATGATTTGCATAAGAACTCTTACAGACATTGTTATGGCTTTCCCTCCCCATAAAAAGTTGTGGTGAGAAAAGCATTTGTCTGTTTAACCCTGGAGGCTGATAGTTTTTCTATCTGAGGCTCAGCTGCACCGCAGCGATGAATTCCAAACAAAGCAAAACGCGTGTCTGTGGTTGCTGTCTTGGATGTGGAAGACCAGATGTAGATGCCTTCTGTAGGCAACTGTTGGCATTGATAGCTGAAATTCTGTTCCACTGGGCAGGCAAGTGGTGATTTACATGCACTTCTACAGTGTTATGTATGTGGTTAAAAAAAAGAAAATTACAGTGGAAATTGGAAAGAGTACGCTGCTTCCAGAGAAAAATCATGGTCTGTGTTCCTGCTGTGCTGGTGCCCGGATATAGCATAAACACAGATTTTTGTTTCTGATTATCAAAAAATGTGCAGATCCGTTGAGTGGCTTTAAAAAAACTTCTGCATGAAGTACACATTTTAAGGGACTGGGCTTTTTTCTTTAATTTATATTTTCCTGTGTTTTCCTGTCTTCTTAGCTACGTGCTATGGCATTTCCCAGTGTGGAATTGGCTAGGAGCAGCACAAAGCTGTCAGAAGCATGGAGACTGAGATGCAATAAGAAAAATGTCAGGCCTTTCTAGTTCACAAAAATATTTACAAGCAAGCCTTTACCCTAATTTTGGAAGACTCATGCTAATAAATATTGATTTGACTCTGCAAGCCCAATAATATGCCCAACATAAAATAATTAAGAAAAAAAGTTACAATGCATTAAGGTGGAAACACACACACAAAAGCATTGTCATTTTCAGTGAAATCTGTAACAGTACCTTCCACTCAATCTTTTTGTGCCCAGGCATTACAGGACAATAGGACACTCTTACAACACTAAGCAATGTTCAATTTCACTCTGAGTCTTCACACTATATTGCAATAATGTACAAACATTAGTGCACAAAAACTGTTCCAAACCCCATGGTTATCTGTTATACACAAAATCAATATTTACCCAGTAGTGTGGAAGGGAAGCGATATTAGAGCATTGTTAGTCAGCAGGGAAAGGGACTGCATGTCTGAGTTGCTGCTGAGCTCCTGTCTACCTGACAGACTACCTGGCCTCCTACATGATACTGCCCCTGCTGGGAACAGCAGAAGTCCTCAAACTGAAATCCCCTCAATTTATAGGTTATAGGTGAGGGAGTCTGGCACGGCCTTCTTCATGATGGCCTTGTGAATGGAATTGTTTTTCTCCTTGCTCCAAAATAGTCTGAGAATTTGCTGATCCTTAAGGCTTGCTGCCAAACTGATCTCTCTGAATGGTCACTTGGAGAGGATTGAGGTGTGTGGGGCGTTGGATTTCAAGCTATAGGGCCTTTTGGGGGGTGGGAGAGGCAGGATTCTTAAGGAGCGGTGCACATTTGTGTAGTCTGGGATGAGAATGTTTTGCTTGTTATGCTTATGATAGTTGTTTGTTGTTGAAGGGACTGGGTTTATATATTATATTTTCTGGATTTATATTTTAAATCTCTGTCAAGGTGTCTAGAGCATTTGAATAGGTGGGTGTTTTTATGTGTTTAATTTAAATAAAATAAAAACTCATCCATCTTCTTTGAAAACCTGCTGTACTTTGCCTTCCTTATTGACTAATGCATCTAGAACTATTAGAGCCTCTTCCTTTCCTCAGCCAGCTCCTTCTCCTCCTCTTCCCTCTTTGCCTAGGATCTTTCACATCCTTTCCTGCTCCCTCCCAGACTGCATTCTCTCCTTCATCCTAGTCTCAGCTCTCCCTTTATCTTCATTCTCTCTATTTTGGCTCTGTCAATCTCAGCCTTCAAACATACAACAGTTTCCTCTATCCTTAGAAAGCCTTCCCTTGCTCACCTGCTTTTCAACCTACAGCTCCATGTCCCACCTTCTCGTTATGTCCACGTTTCTTGTGTGCGATGCTGGCTGCCACTCTTTGATTTCCTCTTCTCTCATACTCCTTTGGATCCCCGGCATTTCGATTTCTGCCTATATTCTCCTCTCAACCTTTCCGAGGTCACCTGACCAAATTCTGTGTCTGCTTCTCCATTTTCCTTCTTCTCCACATCAAATTCAGACTCCCTGTCTTTGATGTCAAATATATTTTACTTTAAAAGTGCTGACTTTAATAGAACTTAAGCTAATGTTTAAAGTTGAACATGTGCTTAAGTGCTATGCAAAATAGGGCAGATCTAAAGCCCTTTCTCTCTTTCTTCAAGCCTGTTTTTTTTCTTTTTCTGATACTGTAACCTCTGTTATTTTCCTCTCTTTGTCCCAGTCTTCCGTGAGCTCATTTTTCATGAAACACTCTGAGCCCAAAGTGCATTTGGTATTTCAGAAGGTTCCAAATTTGAAGTAGATGGTGAAGTAGATGGTGTAGATGGGTCACAAGACCATTGAGCCTTCGGATGCTGTCATAAGGAATGGGTTGGAAGAGAACTTGAGCATATGCTAGATTTTCAATGTGCCCCACATACTGACGTCACTTTAAGCATTTGAAAATAATCCAGAGCCCTTCTGCCTAGATATTATTCATCAATATATAATGCAGGATGGTTAAGTTGGATCTTATCCTTGAATACTAGGGACACGCTGTGCTGTGGTTATCCCCTGCACTCAGTCCTCTTACTATTTTTATTTTATTAATTTATTTTTATCTGGCACCCAAAAATGCATGAGGTGCTTTATAGAACAAACACAAAAAACATTGTCTCTGCCCTAGTGCAGCCATCAAATTATACATGCAACTCCCCTCCCCCCCACCTCCATACATTCTTTAATGATGGTATTGGAAAAGATCTGTGTGGTTCAGCAGCCTTTGTGCTTCCCTTTGCTCCAGCCTGCATGAATATTTCCAAATGTTATGTACGCCAAGGCCCTAGAGCACAACATGGCTCTGAGTTACACTAATGACATTTGAGCTAAATATTCAATCTGACACTCCAGTTCTACACCCACTTGTGTGAGTGTGTATGTGGAGCATTGTACTCTTGTGTGTAGACTTAGAAGATTACTTAATTGTGCTGCACATTTTCTAATGTTCCTAGCTTCATTATTTCTGAATGAAATTTCCTCAAATGTGTCAAAGGCATTCTTCTTTGAGGAGTAAGTTCATGCCAAATTTGAAATAAAGCTGGCTTAGAGTTACAGTGCAAAAATGAAACACACCTGGAACATTTAATTAGTGACAACCACCATTTTATTCCTATTTTCAAATTGCAAAAATGGAGAAGCAGAATTTTATCAAACTTCTCAACACAAATTCACTTCAGGGCTGTGATTTGCCAAATGAAATTTCACCACAAAGGGTCAAATTTTTCCCTCCGAAAATTGAAGTAACCTGAAAATAAAATAGGCATTTTCATTCCAAAACTAACAGAATTATACCAGTATTCTACGTTGCTGTAAATACACACAGTTTATGATTGTTATAGCATTGCTGTTTATATAAAAATCAGCTAATTTTGATCAACAGTCAGTATCCCTATTTTAAGATACAAATCTTCATCAAAGAAAACAATCTTAGTTTCAGGTCCTTTCTAAAATGGAATCTTCTGCAGTGACGGTAGATATTTTCCTTCTTGTTTTAACAGGTATTGTATATTTTAGGGTGCAATAATATTCATATTTAAGACAGTGTAAAATGGTGGCAAAGAAGAAAAAAATTCATCCTTCTGAGCAGCAAAAGAAATTAGAATTTACAAAGTGTAGTCTTGCCATTTTGACCATCAGTAATTATACTATTTTTATGTTAATGTAGAAACCCCTTGAAAGGGGTGTTTAAGTACTAATTATCTATTTACAAAAGAATGGCTTTGGAAATGCAGTGAGAAACACTGAGCTGTATAGGGATTTAGAACAGATGTCATTTTAAAAAGACTAGGCATACAAAAAAAAAAAAAAGTTGGTTTTCATTGCACTTCTTTAACATACAGTGTCCCAGATCCTTGGCTACAACTGAGGAGCACACAGCGTAGGTCAGGAGAGAAGGGTGCAAAGATGAATTTATAGTCTCTCACAATTCTGGGCTGTCTGTGCTGGGCCAGTCCTCTGGCCTAATTTAGGGCAGCCTGAGGACTTCTGTAAATTACACTGGCTGCCAATAGCCTCAAGGGCCAACAAGGCAGCTGGGGATCACCAAAGGGTAAGGAAGCTGAGCTATATCACCTTCTTCCACCCACGCCTCCTGAGCTGGCAGCGGGGAGCCTATGATGTAGGTGCTGCTATACTAGAGGATCTCCCCCATTACACCTGATCATCTTCCCAAGGCTGCCTGCACCAACTTAGGGCCATTTGTACCACAGCAGTTTGAAATGTGGGTCAGTGTGCATTCTACAGCGGTGGTATTGCTAAAGTCAAAATTATGATTCCTCCTGTTCTAGGAACTGCAGAATGACTCCTATTTCCATAATACCCCAATGGCATGGCTTCCCCCCACCTTTTGTCTAAAAATTAGTTCTGTTATTACAAACACTGGGTCTGAGTCTGGAGTCACACGTTTTACTCCGGTGTTTAACTCTGTTGGCTTTAGTGGAGTTTTCCATGAAGGCAGTGGGGTCTGGAGACACAAAGGCAGGATTGGGAGGCAAGAGGTCCAGAATCTAATTCTGACATGGCTGTGACCTTTGGCTAGAATTTTCACTAAGGGAGCTAGGCACCCAAATCCCATC